CTACATGTGCTAGCTATTTGTTTGAATTCCTCTTTAGTGATTTTTCCCTTTTTCCATTTCTTATACATCTCCCGTTTAAAACTTAGGGCCTCAGCAGACTGGCTCAAAGGGCCAGCCTTGAAGCAGAGAAGGGGCATGGCAGCCTCACGCTGGCCACCTGCACCTAATGCCGGCGGTGTCCTGACGCCATGTGCCGTTACACATGGTGCGCGGCATCAGGGAGCCCTCCCAGCGCAGTGTTCTGATGCACTGCGCCGGAAGGGATGAGGAAGAGCCGTGCATTGACTCTTAGGGCACCCTTTTGCCGCCCCTGAAAGGAGTGGAATTTTGCTGCTCTTTTCGGGGCGGCAAAAGGGAGGATTGGGGCCGCAGCCCCGATCCGCCACTTCCCGGGGTGGCCCAGAGCCGCCCGTCTGCAGCCCCCCTCAGTTCAGTTGAAAGTTCTTTTGTCATCCAGACCAGTTTCTTGAGACACCTCCCATTTTTCCTTCCTATTGGAATAGTTTGAAATTGTGCTTTCAGTATCTTCCTTTTGAGAAACTCCCATCCATCCTGAACTCCCTTCTCCTTTAGTATTCCTGACCGTGGGATCACTCCCAGTGTTTCCCTAAGTTTATTGAAATCAGCTCTCCTAAAGTCTAGAATGAGTTTTTGACTATGCCTGGCTTTTCCTTTCCACTGTATAAGAAACTCCAGGAGAACATGATCACTCCCACCTAAGGATCCCACCACTTGCACTCCATTTACAAGGTCATCCCTGTTGGTTAGGATCAGATCTAAAATAGATGATCCCCTTGTTGCCTCTTCCACCTTCTGGACAAAGAAATTGTCTTCGAGGCAAGTGAAGAATTTGCTAGACTTTGAAGTATTGGCTGACTTCGACTTCCAGCAAATATCAGGATAGTTGAAATCACCCATCACTAATACATCTCTCCTTTCTGAATGTGTGGTCATCTGTTCTAGACAGGCATCATCCAATTCCTCAGTCTGACTTGGAGGTCTGTAGTAGACTCCTACTATAACATCCCCGTTGTTTCCTTCCCCTTTAATTTTCATCCAGATGCTCTCCACCTGATTTCCAGTATTTAAGTCCTGGATCTCTTCACAGGTGTAAACATCCCTGACATATAATGCTAAGCTTAGATCCTACCAGAAAACAAAGCTGAAACTGGGCAATAGCAATAGTTGGCTCAAATTATACCCCAGAGCAGACTGATACTAAAGAGTCTCAGACTAAAGCCTTATTACTATGCAAAAAACTATCCATCATGTGTCTTTCCATTGACTTCTGTAAATAAAGAACAAAAATTTCCATTACTTTGTTTCAAAGGAAGAGTGCATGCTTTGCATGCTGAAGGTTCCAGGTTTAATCTATAACATCTTCAATTGAAAAACCTCAGGTTTAACAAAGTATGAAATTGTAAACAGAATGATCAGATCAAGAGGTGTGCAGATGATAAGATCAGGAGATTA